TTAATTTAGAATATGTAACCATGTGTGTTTATGCTTTTATAAGAACGTATTTGAGATCTGTGCAGATCAACACCACATTTAAATCAAAAATCGTCATAGCACGTGGATTAATATCAACGAAATTGTGTGAGGTTCTACAAGAATAAAACATTCTTTTGGCTTAGTATTTTTATTTTTTTATTTAATTTTTTTTTTTTTCATTTTTTGGGCGTTAATTAGTTTTATCATTCGTTATTCCATACCGAAAAAGATATAAATCACCGGCTTAAACAATTATAATCGTTCGTTTTTTATTTTCAAAATGAAATATCAATATCATAAAAAAATGATATTAAATCATACCTTACGATATTATAAAAAATTGAAAGGATGGATATTACTGTTTCATCCCTTAGAAAGAATGTTTATTTACATCAGTGTATTTTATATCATATCCTCGATTATATTAATTTTAACGATATTAAATTCTCAATCAAATGGTTTATTGGCCGTTTCTGATTGGATATTTTATATGACAGTTCCAAATTTACTTGTAGGAAGTTTTTTAGCTGTAAGTGATAAATATTTATCTATTTTTTTTTTTTTTTTTTTTGAAATAAAAGAGGCCTTCTTGTTTTTCATCGATCCATTGTTGTTAATCTTTACTTTCTTTTACTAGATTTATTCCCAAATTATAACCTATTATGTTATCTTCACTGTATCCAACATGGTTCCATCCATAATTTATTATAATTTAATTCAATTCGTATCAGTACTCTGTGAACCCATCTTTTGTTTGAAATCTGTTAACGCTTTATTTATGAGTGCTTATATATTATTTACGTTTTCTATATTATTTGAGGTCTGTTATATTTATATAGGTTATGAAATCTGGAGAAAGGGGTAAGTTTTATGATTAAGGAATATATATATACAAAATATATACATATATATTTTAATGAAATGATCTATTTTGTAGGATATGGCAGCATAAATCTAATGAATACGATTACGAGAAACTTACAGTATAATTGTATCCAAAAACTACTGAATAGAGAGAATGATATGATAATACTAAGTTATATGATACGTTTTTTTTTTTGTTTTTGTATTTTCTTTCTCTTGTAATTTTGCATTGTAATTGCTACTATCCCTTGTATTAATACCATTTTATTTTTTGTTTAAACCTTTTTTTTTTTTTTTTCTATTATTAATAAAAGTTAAAAAATAAAATTTAGTCTTTTAATTTAATTAGAAATGATTAATGACCAAAATAAATTTTAATCAAACAAGTTGGAAATGAGACTTCTCATGATAATCATTATCATCATGTGTCCATATCCTAGAAACGAAAGAAATCATGTTTAGTCTTGAAACGATTTGAATAATTACAAAATACAAAATCTTACCTTGCTTTCCAAATTTGATAGCCCAAGTAAATGTAACTGTACTCGAAAATGATTGAGAACCCAAGTAACATCGAGGCAGTCTCATATAAATCTTTAAGGTGTTTTAAACAGATAACGAATTCACATAATTCGGTTACGAATTGAATCATGCCAAAGTAAATTAGGATTGAAACCGTATTGTACAAGGCAAAGAAGAAATAATTGGATAATGATCGCGAGGCAAACTTTGATACATAACAAGATGAGAGAAAGGAAAAAAAAAAGAATTCAGTTAAGATAGCAAAAAACAATTTTTTCTTTTAAAATAAAATAAAAAAAAAATGAAAAAAAAAAAAAACTTTAAATACTTACGGCGACAGCACTT